GAGCAGTTTAGGCCAATGTTCCTTCCATTCTCCCTACTCCCTACTTCATGATAGAAATGTCTCCATAGCTTAGAATTTTAAGAGAAAATATTTATTATAAATTACATAAACATCCATTCCTCCTCTCACCTCTCTCCAAAAGAAGAAAAAAATCCTGATGAACACTATTCAGGCAGCTCCTTGTACTGGTTATGCAGCTCTGGGGATGGATGCATTTGCTGAAAAAATTGGAAAGTACGGCGGATTTTGGTCACACTCGAGAGTAGTATCACCAAGAGGTTGAGCTCATGGGTCCTGCAGCCTCACTACCTGGCACAAATCCTGCCCACCTCTCAGTGATGTACCCGACTTAACTTACTGATATTATGAGCTGAGGTCACATTATACACATAACAAATACACATTACCTCCGTCATTGTAATCAATACTCTGTAGTTTTGAATCTATAGTGTGTAGATTGATCTATGCATATTTTCCAGGTCCTTAAAACCAGAAAATGTGTATGTATATCCATTGATATCCAATGGGAAGGGTAATTTCATCTTCAGACTGGAAAAAAACATTGGTTAACTTAAGTCTCATTTTGCACATAGCAGAATAAAAGATTAAAAGATAGTCTGCAAAGAGTCACTGGGCTGAGATATTCCATGAAATAACAAACAGACACTGTGGGCTTTGATAACTGGTACTTTGGCACCAAAATCCACTATGGTCAAGTATACAGGCCAAGAAAAAGTCATTTTTTGCATAACCTTTATATCAACATTAAAACAGTGTTTTATTCAATTGAGTAGAAATGTTTCCTTAACTATTTTTCTCGTTGTAATAAAGGCATCTTAGATTTAATAGCGTGTTATCGCCATTTATTTACAAGTTTGGTATCTTTTTGGATTCTAGCAATTAATGGGAAAAAAGGAAGTACAGCCAACAAAATTTTGAATATCAGCTGAAAACCATGTTTGGATGTAATTAAAGGTATAATCTGTTCCATTTGAACATTGCAGTGCTCTCCCATTGTGAACCAACAAACATGAATATTACTTCTTCCGTGGTATTTCTAGTTTCCCCATCACACTAGAACATGTCCACATTTTCCATCAAAATCGTCCTGTGTATAGTACTTCCTTTATACTTACAAAAGTACGTGTTACTTTTATACAATCAAATTCACCATAAATATTATCTGCAGATTCAAGCCGCAGCTCATTCAAACATTTTAAACATACCATTTACTACTACTTTGTATGGGATATATTTATCCAGTTTGATTTCTGAAATAATATGATTACTAAAGTCTTGCTCTTTTTCCTCAGCAACAACTTGTGGGCAGAGTCATTATCAATGATGTTTAATTACTCATCCTGAAGTTGAGATGTCTCAAAACTCAAAATAAATTTCTTATTCAGCAAGGGCTAAAATAGGCAGGCAGTCTGAACAAGTTGGCATTTCGGGTTGGATAAAGATAAAATGCAATAATTAGTTTTATGAGGGAAGAAAAAAACCACGTTACAGCTCATGGAATAAAGTATAGCATTGTTGCAGTCTAACAATTTATAAGGCAAGTCCACCGAAATGCCCGAAATGCCAGGGCTCAAATAGCAGTTCTGGCACAGTGGGCCTTAATAACAGTGCCCAGCCATGTTGGAGCCTGAGCCAAAAGGAAAGTAATCCAGATCCTGCCTTGATTTAAATTGTAAATTTTGTTCATCGTGGATGTTTTTGCATTGATTCTGTTATTTTAAAAAATATCACATTCAAACATTATCTTGATTACTGACTTTATTTTTTTTTTTGGTATCCCCTTGCATTTTGCACCCACAGGGTGCCCATTAATCTCACGCTAGTCCTGGTCCTGCTTACTAAGTCAACTCCCTGAACTTTAGGGACCTCATCTGCAAAACTGAGGCAATCATAATAATTAAGAGGATTATTGTGAGGACTCAGTGAAATAACATGTATTAAGAACTTGTTAATTGTAAATGTTCACAATACAAATACATTTATAAAGCATTATAAAGCTCTCAGATAAAGTTATTATACTAAACATTATATTCAATGATGTAAGGCTTATGGAAAGTGTAAGTCCCGTGACTGACAATAGAAACTGAGTCAAAGGCCTTATTGAGATATATAGAAATTTTTTTTTTTAATCCTCATCTGAGGATATTTTTCTGTTTATCTTCAGATAGAGTGGGAGGGCAAGAGAGCACGAAACATCGATGTGAGAGATACATCAATTGGTTGCCTCCTGGAGGACCCCGACCAGGGCTGGGGACCGAACCACAACCAAGGTACGTGCCCTTGACTAGAATTGAACCCGTGACCCTTTGGTCCTCAGACTGACACTCTAACTGCTGAGCCAATCTGGCCAAGAGCGAGATATGTGGAATTTAAAATACACCCACCTCTACCGAACCTTACTTAAATAAAGAAAAAGCTATACACTTGCAGCCAAAGCCATTTACTTTCCAGTTTTCATAATTAATCTTCATTTATAAATTCACTTTGTCTTCAGATTTTCTCTTTAGTTTCCAAAAACATTCAATTCACTGAAAATGAAGTATTAATTTAGGAAGAAACTCTTTAATGTTTTCCTCTTTAAAAAAAAAACAGCTGAATGCCTACAAATAGATGTACTGTTCATGAAATGTTTGGGGAAAGTTAAGGACCGAAATCTTTTGATGCAGTTCAGGGGAACTTTCTAGGCAGAGGGAAGGGAAATTCCTCCTGCCCTCCTGAGCTCATGGTTTTTCCCAAGCTGGTTAGAATTCAGTGCTAACTAACTGCATTTACAAACACCACCTCCGACATCCTGCCCTCTCTCAGGATCTTACACTGATGTTTCGCATTTTCAATAAAAACTTTGCACTTCGCCTCTCTCGCTCAACCAATCCTGAACTTTAGACGTGCAGGAAGAATCCGGTTCAGATCCTTTCTCGCCCCAGCAGGATCTGATCCGGCAGTAGTGAGGCTAATACACAGGAAAAGCTGTTCTGCCCTGTTTCTGAGGAAAGGGAGACAATTAAAATACGTATTTTGGTGGCTCAGCCCAGGTTTGTCCATTCCAACAAAGTGTCATTAAACAACTTTCCAGTGTCGTTCGAAGAACTTATAACAGAATCAATGGGTTTTCATCCTATGCTTTATTAGTCGTGATTTAGGAGATAGAATGGCCCTGTTTACACAGCTGTAACATGTCAGGACCTGCAGCACATGATTGGCTCGAGGCCTCCGAGTTGCAGTCCAGTCTCAGCAGAATCAATCTGAACTTGAAAACATTCCCGCTAGGAGACATGCACGTATCTACCAGCGTCAAGTACTTCTTGTACGACTGAAAATAGTCTTCACTGGAGGCAAGTTGCAAGTTCACCTTCCGAAAATTAGCCCTGACTTGTCATTGCTCTCAGCACGTTCACCGTGGGAGCAGAAATGCCACTTAACTAGACACCCAACATGGGCGAATGTGTCCCACTTGGCTGCAGATCGGATCTCAGACTCCGCGTGGGAGCTGCTGGGTGTTTCACAGGGGCTCAGAGCATTGCCCATCTAAAATGGCTGCTCAGTAATACTTTTAATTGCAGTTTCATGGAAACAAATTGCTATTTAACTGCAATAAGCATTTCTGTGACTTAGCTGGACCGACAATAGGTGAGTCTTAGTAGCAAAGTGAAAAGTCACATCAACTTGTAAATGGTCTGTTTTCAACAGCCTCTCAAACTGAGTCATAGGTGCCCAAGCTCCAAGGATTCATTGGGAAAACCACTTCTCAATCTAAATACAATTATTTACGCTACATGGAAACTCTTCACTAGTCTCTAGATATATATAGCTCTTGTATATATCTTGTGATATATAATTTATTGGCTCTAAGAAATATTTTATGTAGTGCTGCATATTAGAATCTTACTATATTGACATTTAAAGCCGTTTTAAAAAGCTTCATTTTAGATAATTCATTGTTTCAAATATCAGTATTAATAAGGGCAAAAGAATTTAAATAGTTAATATTAAAAGCCTGACAATTTCACATTCATTTTGGTGTGACAGTTTTCTCATTTTGCCTTTTATAAAACACCACAGTTTGTGTTAAACTGCTTCCTAATAAATCATGAAGAGCTGGGAATAGTCAACAGTTTGGTTAGGAAAGACTTCTTTTGGGTCCTTCTGCCTTTTGGGGTGTGTAAATATAACCAGGCAGGTAAAAAACATCAAACCCTTTCAAAGGACAATCTTTTTACAAAATTGTTTCATCAGCAAGAGTAACAGTTTGCATAGAGACATGTATACGTATCATAAACATTTCTCTTAATCAGTTCAGCTGGGCTCAGGAACACTGGCTTCTATTTTTAATTGCACTTGCTTGTAGGGACTGGGGGCCATCTTGCTGTGACGTGGGCGATATTCAATAAGTCCTTTCAAAAGAACAGAGCACATCTCACTAACATCACAAATGCAGCAATGAAAGGTGAACACACTGGTAGATTTTTTTTTTTTGTCTCTCTCTCTAAGCAATGTTGGGGTTGGGGGAGGAACATAATCACTGCTCACATCAGAATAAACCTGAGTGTTTTTAGTGGCTTTCTATCCACACAGAGCATCCCCATTAGAGCTGGGTTTTATTGTTTGAAATGCCTCTGGTTTCAAGAAAGTGTTTTACCTAAAGCAAGACTACTACTTAAATATGTCCTATTGTATATTCATAGCTCCATTAGTCCTTCTCCAATTTAGCACATCAAAGAGAAGGCTTCACCACTCGCATGTGGATTACACTAACATGAGTGACATTTGTAATCTTATAGGTCTGCAACTTAAGAAATGCTTTTAGAAGCTCGTTATTAAATACGCAGCAGTGCTTGAGGAACCAGCCGTATAATAGTTCATTTAAAGTCTTTAATGACCTTAGCCCTCCACAGCACTAAATGCCACACTATGTTACTTACTGAAAGTTATTAACTATCTCCTTTGAATTTCTTCTCCACTATATGGGACATGAGTACCTATGCCAAAAAAAAAAAAAAAAAAAATAGAGCAGATGCTTGCGTTCTTATTAACACCTTCCCCTTTTCTATCCTGAAGAGTCCAAGTTCCCTTAAAGTATCTTAAAGGGGAAAAAAAATGTTAGAGCCAGAACTAGTTCCTAGAAATTCCCCAAGGATCTAACTCAAACCGATCCTGTTATTTATGTGATTTTGTTCTCATTTTATTTTTCTCTTGCATTTTTTATAAAGCTCTAATAAAACTATTCATTTGAACTCACTGCCTTTAAATTCTCCTACAGGAAGAGTACAGTCTGAGCAAGTGATTTTTCCTCCTGGCCTGGAGTCTGAAAGCAAGCAGTGAGCACTGATCTCAAAGGGAAGGTCTGCTAGCTGAGCTGTGCCAAGCCCGACCTCTCGATATAACCTATTCCGATTCTCAAGAGAGGGCCTCGGGAGCTCTTCTAGAACAAGAGAAAATAAAACAATTGCCATTTTTAGAAAGAAAATTAAAGGTGGCATTAAAACACACCTGGTTTTTATTAACCTGCGATAGAAGCTGCAGTTGAGATTTGCTCACATATTACGCGCCTGGCGGTGCAGTCTCCAGTTCTCCTCCTCCCAGCACCGGCCAGCGACCCCGTGTCTCTGGCCGACCCATGCTTTCCTCAGGGCACCTCTGCAAGCACTGCAGAAGCTGTTCGGGCCGCCACCACCTAGAACTAGCAACTAAACATCTCTTTGGACTACTAGTGAATGAATTCCAAACCCTTCTCCAAACATATGGAAAGGCAGAGCCTTAGAGGAGTGTGAAAGCAAAACAAAATAAACAAATCATACAGCAGACCACAGGAGTCTAAAACGCTCCCCAGGAAATGGCTGCTTCACCCACTGAACATGACTGCAAAGAGCACGGGTCCCTACCAACCAATGGAACTTCAAAATATGTCCAGGTATGCTTTGGAAATGCTATTTCCTTCCAAAGCTATCAACTTGGAAAGAGAACAAGATGGTTATGCCACATTCTTTAACATGCTTTTCCTCAATACCCAAGGCTTTCCTACTGGGAAATAAAGAATAAACGAAATGGCTGAAGAATCAAACAAATATTTATATATAAACACAAAAGATTCACTGTGATATAGGAGAAGTGTAATGAAGTGCTGTTAACAGAATATTCTGAACTTATAAAAAGGACTCCGTTAGAAACATTGCTTTGTACCCCTGCCAAAAATGACATGGTTAAGTAATTTGAAGAATACCTTATTGGCCCAGAGCTAAATAAATATACACACCACCTCCCTCAACCCCTAAAATTTAAAGTGAACTTGGTATCAAATAAAAAGCCTAAAATGTCCCAAAATACAGAAGAGAAAAAGCAGTGTTTAAACCCAAACTGCATCGAATATTTTTCTTTTAAGTTTTTATTATTTAAATACACCATACTAGAGCAAATGTCTCTGAAAATATCACAAATAAAAGATTTTTTTTCTTCATTCAGCAAATTAGAAGTAGGAGGAAATTTCTACACAGTAGCTGCTATGAGCCTGATTTTTTTTTTTCCCAATTTTTTTTTTTCCATTTTTTGTTCCTTTTCTTCGCCGTGGGAGTAGCAACATTAGGACGAAAACACTTACATGCATACATACATTGTATTTTACAGAGATACAATAAAAGTGTCTGTGATAGAATATCACAAAAGCCACATCTCTTTTCCTTTATCTCATGTTCAGTTTTGATTGAAACACATTTCCTTACAACACTTAAATATACAAAGAGCAAATAGAATGTTGTTAAGGTAAAACACAGGGTACAAACTCTGGCCAGTGCCCTGCTAATTGTTAATGAGGGTAGAAAGCAGATTTGAATGCTTCTTTTAATTAGCTTCATTAGTCATTTCCCTCCTCCCAAACTCCCTCCCCCCCCAAGATGTCCTCCGGTGGATCTTTTTTCATTTTCTCTACAGTCTCCCATTAGCCCAGGTTCATGGAGTCCTTAATGTTCATATTCAGTCATTTTAATACACCAATAAATGCAGGAAGGGCAATCACGACTAAAGAAGGTGCAATGGCATGGAGCTGGCACTGGTGCTAGCTACAAAGGTGACTTGTCTACTGAAGACACATGGGATCCACCTGTGATGAACAAAATCTGAGATGAAGGCACGCATTCTGCATTACTCTGACCTTTTAGCAGACCTGCAAGAAATAAAAATGGGCATCTTAGCTAAAATGCTAAATTTGAGAGATATTAAACTCAAACATGACTGCTTTTGTCTTCTCCACATTCACTAATCTTCTTTTATTAGATTACTTTCCAACTGTGACTTGATGGAGGCTTTCTACGCTACTTACTCCGGCAGTGGAGAACTAAAGCATAACATTTTCTGCAGTTTTACTAGCAAAGAAAATGAGACAATAAATGGACTTTCAGAAAGTTTCTGGTGTAAAGTTCTGCAATGAATTGCTACACTCTGGTAAAAGCAAGTTTCTTTCTGTACGGAATGAATTGTAGCATCTTGTCTAGTAGTCATATCTCAAAGATACATTCAGAGCCATGTTCCTCCCCAGGTTTTGGGCTAATATGCTCAACTGTGTAACCTTTGGCAAGCCACTAAACCTGTCTGTGCCTCAGTTTCCTCATCTTTATTTTTTTATTCCTCACCCGGGGATACTTTTCTATTTATCATCAGACAGAGTGGGAGGGAGGGACAGAGAGAGAGATAGAAACATCGACGTGATAGAGCCACAGCGACTGGTTGCCTCCTGCACGACCCGACCAGGGTGGGACAAACTGCAACCAAGGTATGTGCCCTTGACTGGAATCGAACCCGTGACTCATTGGTCCTCAGGCTGATGCTCTAACCGCTGAGCCAAACCAGCCAGGGCAATTTCCTCATCTTTAAAGTGGGGATAACATGCCTGTTGTAAGGATGACATAATACATATATGAAGCATGTTCAACAGTGCCTAGCACTTAATAAAAACTAAGCAAATATTGGCAGTTATGATTATTCTGATATTCACCTATATCCTTCTTGACATATACGTATGTCACCTGCATGAGCATGTGTTTATGTGTCTGTATGTACATACACACACATATGTACATATAAATATTCAGATACTACTTTTCCCTTAGTATTTCCTATCTGCTACCACTTGATATTACATAAATATTCCGAGTATATAAATCAAACATATGTAATGTGTTAATGACTTATGATCAATTAAAGAACGTAGTTCAATGGAAGTCTAATTTTAACGTCTAAGCTAGAAATGATAATCCACAGTCGTCAAATACAATCTGTTTGCAATTACCAAAATGAAATAATATATATTAGGTTTTTATGGTTTTTAAATGACATTTTGAGCTTCCCAGGAAGTTCTCGTTCCACCCTTTTCCCTAACTTACTAAAAGCCTGAAGTCTATTAGAAACTGCAACCCCCCACTTCTAAGCTAATTAAAGTGGCGGAGGCTTAATTCCCCAGAGTAGAAGCTCAGTGTGAGAAAGGTAATTTGTCTGTCCAGAACAAAGATGCGGCAGCAGCCAGCGAGCATATTTAATAAATGAGCATCAAATGTCCTCTACGATGGACACACACACAACACCAATTATGTGACTACAGGGGAATTGCGAAGTGTTATGTAAACTAGGACACGAGCTAAATTTTCCTCCAACTACAGAGGTGTGATGATCTCTTATTTTGCTGAAAAGCAGATAGTTCTAGGTGGAACCATCACTGGAGCAGAAGAAAAAATTCCAGAGCAGGCAAAAAATTACCAAAAGAAAAGAAATTAGACACAATCCCTGATGGTATTTACATAACTCTCTAGAAGGCAGTATCCTCCTAGAGAGCCAGGCTCCCTTTAAAAGACACAGGCTACAACATGTTGTAGATCCTTGAACACCAGAGGTCTGAGACTTCAGTCAGGAGACTATATGATTTAAAAGCTTAAACTGATTTTTTTCTTAGAATATACAAAAGCCAGTGATGCAGAACAAGCACCAAACTACACATCCCAGACAATGGGAACACATTTCAGGAGAACAAAAGTTTAAAAGGACTAGATGATGGGGTCTGTACTTTCCATACAATTTAGTTGCCTTTAGAGGAGGAAATGTACAAATAATCAACTCATTACTTTTAAGCCAGAGGATACTCGGGTATATTTATTATGTATCATGCACACAAAAAAAGGTAATTGGTACTGTGAATAGAAGGAAAGCAGTCAAAATTAATGTCCAATTTTCCCTACCAAAAATATGGAGAATGAGAGAGAAGAAAATGCTAAAATGGAGCTATTTGTCATTTCTCCCCATCTCATCTCCTCCAGAAAAAAAAACGCCAGAGGCTTTGGGGAAAATAATTTTAAAGCGTTCTCCAGCTCCAGTTTATGTTCCACCAGGAAGTGTGTTTTCATTACCTCTTCCCCCTTGCCCTCTCATTAATATCTCTCTGGACCACGTTCAGCTTGCCCCAAACCTTTATTTACAAAAACTACCTTGTGAATTGACTGTGCTCATGGTGAGCTGAACACCGAGGGCAAAAATGTGAGGCATTTATACCAACAGGGAAATGTTCTTAATTAACATTACCCCCCAAAACACAGCTTCTCACCAGCATCTGACACGAACATATCCTCAAGTTATATTTCCTTATGCCTTTTAAGAGCTATTAATTTAAGGCCACCTGTCTCTTTTGGCTTCCAACATTAAGAAAACATATACCAGTAGGTTCTTATTCACTGCCTGGTATATTTGTATTCCAAAATGAACCCCCTACTTCTCACCCCCCGGAAAAAGGTGTCGAAAACAGAAGACTTAAATGACAATAGGCACAATCCACGAAATCTTACGAACACGGAAAGCCAGATTTTTCTCCAGAATACCTCCGTTTCTTCCCTTACACCTCTAAATGTGCATCAGCATGTACTCAGTAAGAAGGTACTGTGACGCAGCTCCTATTTCACATGTGTCCTTTGCAGCCAGTGTCCAGCGAACATGGCTACTGCCTGTATTCTCAGCACTGCAGTTTGGCTACATTTCCCATCTTGCCTCCACATCCTCCTATTCTCACCAGGCAAGCTGGTGAGTTGTGAGTCATTTTATGACCCCGGGAAAGAAACGGTGTAAAACCAGCAACAAACTTAAAAAAAAAATTGGGGGGAAAAGTAAGCTTTTACATTAGAAGAAGTGGGAAAGAGATCAGTCAATGGTATTCCTGGCTTATTTTTCTTTGAGCTACCAAATCGAACTACAAATGGCTTTGCCTCTGAATTGCAATGGGTATCTCAAAAAATTTGTTACCTAGTCATTGTTCTCAGCTCCACCCTGTAGATTCATTACAATTCAAACCATAAAAATCTGCGTGTATGTATATGTATCGGCAATCCTTAAAGCAGCGTGAAATGCCTCATCAACGGTGACTGGTTACTTTGCAAGAAAAAATTTGCCTTCTATTGCTAAGATGGTATTCTATGTAGCTTCCGTGTTAGTCAATTAAATAGAGTACACATATTGTGATGTGATTAACATTTCATTAGTAAAGAAATAAAAAATACATTTAAAATTATCCCATTAATTTGATAAGGGAAAACGATAAACATGAGCATTAAAATGTGGCAGTGTAATTTTAAATGGTTAAAAGTTTACAAATATTAGTCATTTTCCCCATATACAGCATTTAAAAAAATGCATTACAGAAGACAAAGAAGCCTAATATTTTTTTCTGAAACTTTTGAAGCTTGCTCAATTCTTACTTGCAGATAACTGCTGTGTTTTGTGTGTGTGTGTGTGTGATCCTTACAACAGACATTAATGAAGTTCCTATTGTAAATCCATAAAGAATTACCAAGTGAAGTGTGCACTTTTTGTTTCAATGCAATAACTCAGTGCTGTGTGATTGCCTGGGTTAATGATGAAAAAGTCAAACATACTATCAGAGCTGATGGAAAAATCTATCACCAATCCGAAATTAAAATTCATCTGTGGTCAATAAGATTTAATATCCATGCAAGTGGTGCTGTAAAGAGTAAATGAATCAATGTCATCAATACATAATCAGTATGAAATATGATGTGAATAAAATTATGCGCACGAGTCATACATTTCACTCTTTTCTGGGCCAGTGTGGAATGAACAGTCTCTTAACTGAAGGTTGACAGTAATTGTTACAAATTAGGCACAGCAGTTATCAAAATGCACTCACTTGCATAGCTATAGGACTTATTAAGGAGATTAAAATAGATCTAAAACTATCCAGTACTGGGGGTGCTGAACAACTGTTGATCACCAATTTTCCTTCTGAAGTGCCTTCTAATACTACATGACTTGTACATTTATATAATTTCCTCACTTCTAACTCTGGTCCAAAAACTTTCCAGATGTGGATCAAGAATCAAGACACATAATCTTTAATGAAGCTATCACTGGCCCAAAGTGACTGGAAAGAGCTAGAACTTTGTGTTAAAAGTCATAGCTTACTCAAATTTTACAGGAATAGCAATCAACAAAAATGCTCTCCTCTGGAATTACAGAATGTTTTATAAAACTGCTTTTCTAAAGCGCCAGTGTCCAGATTGCTATTACTAATACAGAAATCACTCTTTCATGACAAAGATGATTCCCTTTTCTACCACAAATGTTCCAATTTTCCTCCCACAATAAACCTATTCACATCCATTGTGCTTCTGAATATCAAAATTATCAAATGGGATACAAAACTGGTTATATAGAAGTTTTATGCTTTGTTCAACTTTGCATGTGATACTCCTACGTTCAACATCGGTGAAGATACAAAGTTGGGATTTTTTCTAACTAGAAGAGATTCACAATTTAATCAACTCTCCTATTTCTGAACCCTGTATGGATGGATGAGTGGTCTACATGTCTTAAAAAGGGCATGCAAAAATATAAGCACCCAGGAGAACTCCCTTGGCTTAGTGCAAAAAGGTTGATCCTACCAACTTGCTCTAATAAAGCTTATTAGTAACTGCAGGGTCTTTACCTTCTGGTCTGGCAGTAGTGGATTGCTCTGAAGTGAATTCAAATGGCCGTTGATGAGAGCTGTAGGTCTATCATGTTCACAAAATAAACTGCCATTGATGTAGTGAAACCGATCTCCTGGGACCAGGCGATTCCGGCAGGTAGAGCATGTAAAACACTGAAAGGGAAAAGCAAACCCACTGAAAACAACTACAAATTAAGTCTTTTTTTGGCCACAAGTTTATAAACTGTTTTTAAGCAGGTATCTGTCAAGTACAGAGCCACTTAGGGCTTAGTGTTTTTCTTCCTGAGACATGATTGCAGAGGGCAATAAACTGGATCAGCACCAAGTGGGAAACAGACAAATGTGTGTGCTTGTGTGGTGCTGCCGGTGTGAGTGGGTGGGCGGGGGATAATCACTGCCAGTCCAGTCTGAATGAATTCCTTTAGAGTTTGCAGTTTGAGAAAACAGAGCTCCTTCTAAGGAGAAACACTTCGTCTCCCGTAGGAAAGGTAAGTTTCTTTGAAAACGAGAG